TAATCAAACTAGTTAAATGGGTCTTATATAAGGACCGGAGGAGTATCATCTTGATATTATTTTTTAGGTATATTCAATATTCTAATTAATTTTTTATTGTGCATCCAACATCCTAATTTTATTATCATGGTATATTTAACACCCTAATATTATTTTCGAGGTGCTGGATATATTAAGAAAATGATATTACGGTTTAGATATATCATAGAAAAGGTTATGATACTGGATGCATTTTTACTTTTACTTTTTACCAAAAAAAAAAGAAGAGGAAGAGGATTATAAAGTTTTCTTGGTGCAGTTGCAAGCGTGCTTTTTGCGGGCGGCTCTTAGCAGCACTAATTAGGATTGCAAAAGTGGATGCTTTTAATTAATATGATTCAAAGTACTTCAAGTTGACGATCAAATAACGTAATACGCACCACTATAGTGTAGTATTATTGCACTAATCCATGATTTAATGATCTCCTGCTTTGAATTCAATTTATTGATATGAAATGAATGGATAAGCACAAATTGTTAACGAGTTCGTCAAGTGTTTTAACAGTTGATTATATATATAATATTAATGATTAATAATGATGGCATCTCTGGTTGATTCAGTTGAAGAGCTGCTGGAATGTGACACTTTCCTACTACTGGTTTGAGTTTGACTCGTCCTCCTCCCTCCTCTCCCCCAGATGCACATATATATATATATATATATATATATATGTATGTATGTATGTATATGTATACACATCCCTTCACTACACATTGTTGTTCATAATATACCATCTCAAACCAGAGAGAGAGAGCTTGAGAAGCAAGAACCATTTCAGTTCAGTTTAGCTTCATTTGCTTCATCATCAACCTCATGCCATATTAGCTTGACGTGACTCCAAAGAATCAATCAGTAGGATTCATTTCAGAGGCAAACCTGCATATATCAGCATTTATATTTTTCGAAACCCAAAGCCACATATATAGCCGCATCCATCCCAGACACTAACATCTATATATATACACTGTTTGTATTCATGTCTGGAATGGATTCATCATCAGTTGCATCAACACTGTTAATGGGGATGACGAGGTGGGAGCAAACTAGGGTTGCAGTGATGGTTCCGGGGTTGAAGATGATGGTGTGGGTGTGCCTCGCCATGTCGGTGATGCTGTTTGTGGAGAGAGTGTACATGGGAATGGTGATAGTGCTGGTGAGGTTGTTTGGAGTGAGCAATCCTAAGAAGCGTTACAAGTGGGAGCCTCTCAAGCATGACGACGATGTTGAGCTTGGAAGCTCCACTTACCCAACGGTTCTCGTTCAAATTCCTATGTACAATGAGATTGAGGTATAGACATATATACGTAGTGCTTCTCATATATAAGATCACTCATCATATGTGCGCTTAACATAATTAATCATTAATGATGCAACCAACTAAGCAAGTTACCTTTTTTATAGAACATTTTGAACGTATTTTTATCATAATTAAGAAAAGTCTTAAACCTCGTTAACTCGGTATTAAATTTTAATAATTTTTTAACTTTATTCTTATTTAATATAAATGCTTTAATGGAAAGTTCAAGAAAGAAAGAATAATAAATTTGGAGTTATCCATATTGTACATTTATATGATAAATTAAATGAGGTGATTCATATTAAGTACAAAAAAAAAATCTCTCTCTCTCTCTCTGTGCCCGGCTATTAATAGGATCAGAAGAGTATTAAAAAGATTAAGTAGAAGAAATTTAATCCCCTTGGGGAAAGTCAGGAATTGATTATAGTATCAGATAACAAGTAATACGCGTATTTTTTTTTATGAGCTACACTTTAGAGCTGTCTAAATCTTACACATTTTTTTTAGTATATTACCCTCAATTTATTAGGTACCTCTCTCATCTTTTTTTTCCACTTATTCTCTCTCATATTTTTTGCTGCTCATTCTCTCCTCCAATCAGCTTTTTATATTTTTTCCCCTCTAATTAATTTTAACCAATTTTGATTCGATTAATTGTCTCTTGTGAAAAAAAAAAATAAAGGGAGTGATAATTAGAAAAAGAGTAAGAATTGGCATTCATGATGATGAGTGGTTGGTCCATGGGGAGCGTGCAGGTGTACAAACTGTCAATAGGAGCAGCCTGTGGGCTCTCATGGCCGTCTGATAGGATTATCATTCAAGTTCTGGATGACTCCACTGATCCTCTTATCAAGGTCCTCTCTATTCCTTGCATTTGTATTAGTATTCTGAAAAGTCCAATTTCTGAAAGTAAAATAAAATGACAGGAAATGGTGTTGACGGAGTGCAAGAGATGGGAGAGCAAAGGGATAAACATAAAGTATGAGATCAGAGAGAACAGAAGAGGCTACAAAGCAGGAGCTCTCAAGGAAGGAATGAAGCATCCTTACGTCCATCTCTGTGACTACGTCGCCATCTTTGATGCCGACTTCCAACCTCACCCTAATTTCCTCCTCCAAACCGTTCCCTTTCTCATTCACAACCCTCAACTTGCTCTCATCCAAGCACGCTGGACTTTCGGTATCGAGTTTCTAGTAGCATCATTAGAGATATTGCAATGGGTTATCTAAGTGGGATGGAGAACTCTATCTCTTGTGAGGTCGAAAAACCAGCCCACTTAGCATCCCATGCTATTAAGTCTCTAAGATATTAATTGTCTTAAGCCTTTTACTTCATTGAACTACAAGAGAACATATATAAATATATTCGACACCACATCCAAAAGATTCAACATTAGATTTACCTTAACCCAATAATTTCCCCATTTCCCCATAAAGTATGAGTTCACTTGCACGAGTCTTGGGCTTTCTATGCAATATAAAGCCAGCCTCAATCCCAGGAATTTTATTTACTGATATAATAAAAAATATAATTACAACACTTGTCTTGTGGCTGACCACTTGAACACCAACAAACAGACAACATGAGAAAATTCTAGCTGGCCTAAAACTAAAGACAATTATTGGAAGCATATCATGGAATAGTAATGTTCTCTCCTATTGTATTGCAGTAAATGCTGATGAATGCTTAATGACAAGAATGCAAGAGATGTCACTAGATTACCATTTCAAAGTTGAGCAAGAAGTTGGATCCTCTACCTACGCTTTCTTTGGCTTCAATGGTAAATCATTCTTCTTATCTTCTCACAACTGCTTCACTCCATGATCCATTCTGCATTACCAAATGCTGCGTGCATATTCAGGCACAGCTGGTGTCTGGAGGGTTTCTGCATTGAACGAGGCTGGAGGATGGAAGGACAGAACCACTGTGGAAGACATGGACTTGGCTGTCCGAGCCAGTCTCAATGGCTGGAAGTTTTTGTACCTTGGTGATCTTCAGGTATCATAAACTATGAGCTAGTTTGTGAGTTTTGGTTTAGTCAATTGAAAAACCTTCTGATGAACCTATTCAAAGAAATAGATAAATCAAGCTAATCATAAACACCCCACATATGGCATGTTCATGTCTCTTAATTGACTTAAGAATGATTTTCTATCCAGTTCAGCATAGTCAATCGAAACTCAGTCTGAAGCCAAATCAAATCAAATACCTTTTGGATAGATCAACAAAAGGAAAACAGAGCAAATCGATTATGAATAAATATGAAACATGTTAGGTACTCTTAGAGGGCACACCTCTCTCTAACATGCATGTTTCTTCATAATTTGTTGGATATGCCAATTATATCTACCCAAGAATTTTTCATGCAATATATGATATTTTATCTCAGATGATTTAATAAATTAAGATGGTCACAGTGATTTGAATAAGAAACTTTCACTTGACATTTTGCTTGAACTCATAATTTCGTCAATAAATTCAGGTGAAAAATGAATTGCCAAGTACATTCAAAGCTTACCGTTATCAACAACACCGATGGTCCTGTGGGCCAGCTAATCTCTTTAGGAAAACGGCAATGGAAATCATAAGAAACGAGGTATTAATCTCAATTTCTTTTATAACTACCTCCAGAGGACCTTGATAAGGACATTCAACATTTACCCGTCACTACTAATTCTATGTTTATCATATTTTGCAGAAAGTGTCAATGTGGAAGAAGCTCTATGTGATATATAGCTTTTTCTTTGTCAGGAAGATCATAGCTCATGTGGTCACATTTGTGTTTTACTGTGTTGTTCTTCCTGCAACTGCTCTTGTTCCTGAAGTGGAAGTTCCCAAGTGGGGTGCTGTATATATACCTTCCATCATTACTCTGCTTAATGCTGCAGGAACTCCAAGGTCAAAATTATCTGACTTGTTTCCTCTACTCTTTAAAGTTGATTTAACAGTGACTGTTCAAACTGTTTTTTTTTTTTCCTTCCTCTTTTGGTCAACGAATGCTCAAACTTTATAATACAAATGTGAGGTGCAATTTCCTCAACAGTCACAGATAAGATTCTTCAATATAATTATCATACGTGGAAGAACTTCTTTCAAAGATCCATATATAAAGTTCTAAGCCGTAAATAATATCCACTTGATATGTTTTTACCAAGAACTTGATAGCAGATCCCTATAGCAGTGCGCCCTCGTTTTTTTCCCTTTTTCTTGCACAGAAATTTTGCCTTTACTAATTAGTTCATTCCTAACTTTCCACAATTACGGGGTGCAGATCACTCCACCTATTGGTATTCTGGGTTCTATTTGAAAATGTCATGTCAATGCATCGGACCAAGGCAACGCTCATAGGTTTGCTGGAGGCAGGGACAGCAAATGAATGGGTGGTCACTGAGAAATTGGGAGATGCTCTTAAAACAAAATCAGGAGGAGAAGCACCAAAGAAGCAACGTGTCACAATTATTGAAAGGTATGTTTCTTTCCTCTTTTCCTGGGATAGCAGCATTTTGAAATCTAAATAAGTAAACTTCGGAAAAATTTCTGAAGAAATAAGAGACACCAACGTATATATAGCTCGACCCAATCAATAGTGTGTATAACAGAATACTCAAACTCTAATATACAAATAACATAACCATATACGACACTGGGATTCTTTACTATGGGAGAAACAGCATGGACCAGAATTTTCTCAACCAATTAGACTTTTCCAAGTCTCCCTTAGCATATGTAATTTAAAGGAGAAAACGGGAGAAAAGAAGAGGGCGCTACCATGAGATTCCATAATTTTACTTCAGCAAAATGGAATTCTCAGCACCATATTTATATACATTTTTACATTTCAGTGGAACTGTAATTGATCAAGTAGTGCTTGATATATAGCAAAATTTACAAAATAAATTCCGTAGTCTAGTGGACAAAACTGCTATTCATAGTAGAAATTAGACAGCGCCATTGGAGCCGACCCGCAAGTTTCCCTTCTGTTCAGCAGAAGGCGTAACCCTCAAAGTGATCTGTAATTAAGAGTTCCTTATACAAGGAGAAGAAATCTACTTTGTTAATCTATCATTCGTTATAACTGGATAGGTTCCTAGAAGGTTAAGAATGAATATGTCATTAGCTCCTATCAACATAGTAAAAGTCCACTGTTCAATAAATTTCATGTAATATCGCTCCATTTTTTTCCCAAAAAAAAAAAAATGAAGCCATCAAGATGATAATCATCGTGCAAACAACTCACACATAAGTTATACAACTAGCATTTTTTTTTTTTCACCTTTTCTTCTTTCATGATGATTACAATCAGAATCTATCTGCTCGAACTTGCCTTTGGGGCCTACCTGTTCATCTGTGGATGCTACGACCTAGCCTTTGGGAAGAACCAGTACTTCATATACCTCTTCCTGCAATCTCTTGCCTTCTTTATTGCAGGGTTTGGCTACGTTGGTGTCTTTGTTTCCAATTCATCATAGTGCATCTCTTCCATCAGTAAGATCTCAAGCATCTGCCATTTGACATCAAGCCCATGACAAGAAAGATCGGAAATCAACTTAGGCAGGAATCAGCTACTTAAACTATACATTCTTTTGCAAAAATCATTTTTTTTCCATGTTGAATTGTTTCCTCAAGGAAGTAGTTGAGGAGGTTAAGGAAATGAAACAACAAAAAAATTGTTTGTTATATATATGAAAAGCCAATACAAAAAAGAAAACGACAGATTAGAATTGAGAATGAAGCAGGGACCAAAATAAGTGAAGTGAGAGCTTTTACTAAATTTGACTTATCTCCTTCTGCTGTCAAGAAAGATACAGAAACTGAATCGGATCAAGCAAAATGAGATTTCAAAACAAAGGACCATTTCAACCTCCCTTGAACCTGTTCCCTTATCAAATAAAGCTCTTTATTCTTTCTAATTTACCCTGGAAATAATTTAACAAGGAAGAACCGTGTGCCAATTAAAAAATACAACAACTCTTTTGCTCCCTGGCAAGCTAGTTGCCAAACGCACAACTCTTCTAGGGAGTGTATGTGCATGCACGAGGGTACAAGGTCAAAATTTAAGGAACTTCAACTTAGATCATGTAAAGATGAAAGGTCAGATTTTTCAAAATTCATGAATCAAGCATATTATCAGCAATTTTAAAACTACGGAAATCCAATCAAAAATCATCACTGAATGGCGTCCATGCGCAGGCACACCATCAGCGCAAAAACTAAAGAGGAGCACATGTCCAACATAAGGTGGTCATATTTCAAGTTTTGACTTAGTTCAGGATCTAGACCAAGCCTGAAGAATATGTAGCATAGCTAGTTTTTGACTAACTTCAGCGAGAAAACGTGGCATAGTCAACAAATCCAGGAGTTCAAGAAAAACAGTGAGGAGAAATACTCCACTCACATTAGTTCTAATTAAGTTTTGACCATAAAATTACAGCAAATGCAACGTGTTGCAACTAAAAGCATTTTGGTCCGATACATGTCAGTAAATGTTACCTTGAGAATTATCAATTATCTTCAATGTCAAAATTTAAACATGATCATCTGAGCAGCTTTTTCAATGTTAAATCTATAGGGTACAATTATCCAATCAGCTGAAGTTCACAGTCTAAGACGATGTGAATACCTCATCAAAGCAACTAGATCTCTACAAAGAGGCAAAGCTGCTTTTTCAAGGAAATGATCCTTCATTCCAGTATTCGCTCAACTCTTTTAAGGTGGATCTCACTGGAGGAGAAAATAGGCACGAAGAAGGAATCTTGGAATTGTATCATTTCATAAAAGTGTAAACACACCTTCAATCAATCATCAGTCTTCTAGAGAAGAAAGAGAGTCCAATTGAAATCCTGAAAATGCATTTGGCTAGCCGAGTTGGAATTAATCAGATATCTTTGTTATGGAATTTATGTAAGCTTCTGGGATAACTGATTTCAGTCTCATAAGAAAAGAGTTATTGCAGTCCCCAACAGAAAACACATGGGGTGATACTGATGCAATAATTACAAAATTTTCACCATTTCCCACATCTATCTTATACAGTTCTGCAAAATGTTCCTGAAAATGATGTACCAGTTGGCAATAGAAGGACCTACTAGGAGAAATAACATTTATAGAAAGAATTCCAAGTTCAGAGAGAACTGATTTGGCTGCCAGAAGAACATTCTTCCTAAGAAATTCCACTGGCGGGGCACTTATACCACTCCTTACATCACTTGAATCTAGATCAACCATGATGACATCGAATTTATTGTTGACATCTTCACCATCAGGAAAATGACAATGACCATGTTGCTCACAAGTGGCAGAAGAGCACATAGGATGCCAATTCGCCTGATGTGAAAGTTTCTTCACAAATTTAATGGCGTCTCCAACAACAACATGCATAAACTCGCTATCTTCTAATCCAAAATACCGTTTTGCAACCTTCAAAACTTCCTTATCAGCATCCACACCCGTGACCTCAAAGTCCAATTGGTTTCTCAAGAAAGAATGTAAAGCCCCACCTCCAACCCCAAGACATAAAGCTTTTGGTCTAAACCCAAGCTGAATTCGTCCTTCTATATATTCACTGATCAAAGATAGGCTTGCCACCGTTGGAGCCAAGTAAGGGTGTACCAAAACCCGAAGATCAGGCACAAACTTTACCCCTCCAATCCTTACACCTGTCGAATGAAAATCTTTTGCATCAGGAACAATAAGAATTTCAGTCTGAATCAAATTAGGCATCCTCTTGAACCTCAAACGCCTCCGAAATTCCCGTTTATAACAACCACCCAACCTATTCTCGCTTTCAATTTCAACATCTTCAACCAACATTTCACCAACAACACAACCCGCACATTTATGTATTACCACACTAGAAACCAAATTATCTTCATAACTCAAAATAGGTACCTCCGGAATGCCGTTTTTAAACAAGTATTTGGGAGACAAGGCAAGTAGAAGAGGTTTTGAGCATGCTTCAAGCTCCTTCCGATGCGACGAAGATTCTAGCGGACGGTGATAAATAGTTGGTGATGAATCACCCTCTTTGAATTGGTTTCCCAGCAAAATGAGGCGAGATACACCAGGAGAGCTAAAGAGCAGCTGGAGATGACCCCATTCAGTAGAGAAGATCCAATCACTTTCGCGGGCTTCAGGGACGAACATTGCAACAACAAGGGGTGACTCAGAAGCTGGAACCGGGGAGTCCAGAACAGCAACTCGGAGCAGTGAATCAGCACAAGTAGGATCGGGAATTGTGAAGGTGATGAATCGAGAAGGACAAATGCTTTCAAAGGCTGCAACATCGAGCGCCATCACCGTAAACACATCCAGAGCAGTTGTTCTTCTTCACTCTGGTTCTCGATCGATGCGTGCCTGAGTGCCTTTACGCATAAAATAAATAATGCAAAGTTGAAGTGAAAATCCATACCCTATAAATTATAATAGTACGAACTCTATTTATAACAGAAATTAAATTAGTTATTTATGATAAATAAATATTATTTTTTTTAAAATATCGTTAATAATAAGTGTCTTAATTAAAATTATAATTATTAAAAAAATTATTTTAAAAATATATATATATATAAAAAATAAATTAAATTAAATTTTTATATTTAAAATCAAAATAAAAATCAAATAAAATTTTATATTAAGAAAAAAAATAGTATAAAAAAGTATTATTATCTTTGATTAATACTTTTCAATGTCTCGTGATAGATGGTGTCTCGTTGCTTTTTATCATTTCCCGCCACGACATAACACAACGAGATAAGAAACCGGTAACAGAAAAGGCTGACTTGTTCTCCGGCCGGTCTCTCCGGTGCACAGAGAGCCGCCGGTGAAAAAGTGAGGGACACGTTGCAGTTAGCGATATGATTTCGGTGACAATTCGAAAGTCGGGTTGGTCGTTCCGGTCACCGCAGCTCATATCTGCTGATGAATAAATCAAATGGGAAAAAGAGATGCATTATTTTCCCTCTTGTCTGGACTGTAAAAGATCCAAATTCATCCTCTTGACAAACTTATCCGCTCTTTTTATACCCTAGTGAGGTAGATTTTCAGTCTTTAGTAGATCAGTTTGGTTTGATTGAGCTAGTTCCGCGAGGCAACAAAATTACCCGGAAAAGTGGTAAATTGGGATCATGAGATGCAATGCATTATGAGATAGACTTGTTGGATCCATCTGTAATCTGGAGATTACTTGCTTTTCTTCATTACATTGTGTGAGAAGGGTATTTCTTGATACTTTAGGCCCTCAAAAAAGACAATCACATCACCCAAATTCAAAGTTCATCTTAGTGCATGGATTTCGAATTATTGGGATACTGAGTGCGTTGATTTTGGGATCTTCATAGTAATCCCTTGTACAGCTGAAGATGAAGATGGATCTATGAAGCCTAAAGTTCAAGCCCAGAAGGTTTGCTTGATTTGTTCTTCCAGCGGTACTGTACTGGGATTCACCGTATTTTTTGATACAACTGGGATTCACTGTATTCTCCTTTCTTGATATCGCAAATACTGACTTATACTTAATATAAAACCTTATTTAACTTTTACTTTTATCTTAAATATAATACCTTAATCTATTCTGTCTCTCATATTTATTCATTTTTTTTTAAGATAATCCTTCTAATGATAGTTTTAACTAATAAACTTGATCATCAACGATATTTTAGAAAAGACAACATACATTTATTATAAATAACTAACTTAACTTGCTTTTTTAATTTATTTAAATTAGTCAATTAGCTCTTATATTTAGGATCAAAGACGTAGAATCTGCTAAAGAAATTTAATCAAAACCTTGATCTTGGACAATAGATTTTAAGTCTAAATTGATTTGAAGCCTCACTCTCAAGTCTCAAAACTGCGAAAGTTTAAAGTTGTTCGCAGGAAGGTGGTCCCTTCAACATCACCTTCTTCGGTTTATTTCTTAGCTCGTGATGTGGCTAATCCTGGATGCTTCTTTGAGGATCTTTCCAACACCTGTTCGCCTGAGATCAACCGGGACCGAGAAGGAATAGGCTAATTTAGTTTGACCTACTCTTTTTTGTTTCTCTGCCTTTTTTACTGCTTTGTGTTTTCCTTCCTTTACGCTTTTGTTGTGATTCCCTCTTCGTTGTTCTCGTTACGTAATTAAAAGCATTTTCAAAGCCAAAAAAAAAAAAAATCCTTTAATAAACTTCGTCCTTTATTATAGGTTTCGTTTCGTTTTTTTTGGATACATTTGAGCCAGGCTTGATATCAATAGGTATCAATATGGCCTTGGATACTCAAGGCATGCTGCGTCTGTAAGCATGCAATGTGAAATTCGATGTAGAATATATTCTCCAGTTCATCAAAGATAAGAACAAAGTAAGTTGCATCGTTTTTCTTTTTTCACTTTGAACCAAAAAGAAAAACGAACCTTCCTACACCTACCAACATGTGCTTTTTGTCTCTGCTCTCATGTTCAGTATTTGATTCAAAGGGCAGGTACAGAACTTCCATGCCAGGAAATTTTCATTTTATGCAGTAAGTTTAATTTTAGTGTAACATTAAATATGTCAAGGTGCGTACTACTGCAAACATGTTAAGAGTAGAATCAATGAAGAAATTATGTGCACATTAGCCATTAGGTTAGTTTATACATTAAAAAAATCACCACTTTACTGACTCATGAAATTTCATACCAAGATACACGATATACATGTTACTGAAATAGAGATGATAAAAGCGACGCTAACGATGGAGATGTATGTAATAATAATGGCAATAGCATAGATGAAGATTGACAAATAGATTGCATGCTACAACCTCATAGTCATCCCAAGAACATGAAGCATTTCGCTAACCTGTCAAGTGTTTCATTTTCATTATCATTATTATTATTACTATTTGATAAAATGATCAATTCTCATTAATAAACAAGTCTCAAGTTACAAAGCAGAGAGTAAAGAAGGACAAGAAGAAAGAAAATGAGTACGATTATGCCGGTAGAAATTAAAGTAACAAATCGAAAACCTGTTAAAAAAGTGTTTCATTTTTAAAAAGCTGAGAATTAGAACAAAATCTTCCTTTAGTATGGGAGAGAATGAAGCCCTAGTAAGGGTAACTTGTGTCATTCCCCAAATCTATTAATCATTAAAAGAATATGATCCATCCATAGGAAGGAAAAATCACCAAATATACATTTGTACAATATTCCAACTCCTGCTGAGAATGTGGACCCACGCTACACAGCCTAGCGCTAAGCAAATTGCATAACATGCCCTCTGTTCTTCACTACCCAAGAGGAGAAAGTGAAGTAACAAAAAGAATGAATAATCCAATTCCTTACTGACCAAAAGCATAATAACCAAATTTTTGAGAATAACATGGACGTGGTGCCCATGGAAGAGAGAAAAGCCGGGTCAGAGAATCAGTGATGCCCCGAAAATACCAAACACAAATCCTGGATCACCATTATTACCACAAAACTTATTATTATGATTATTCTCATTGTTGTGTCTATACTGAACTTCTAAGGGAAAAAAGAAAAAAACTAAGCAACTTCAAAATTTGCACAAGCCTATTGCTTGAATAAAATTGAAGTTCCTAAAGCAGAAACTGAAGTTTAAAAGGCTTCAAGATTTACCGAGCCACTTCTAGGCAGAAACAAGCTCTTCCCCAGACAATTCTTAACAGTATGATTAAGGTAAATGAGATCCTAATGTAACCAACTCCTACGCGTTTATGTTCAGGCAATTTTGGTTTGATAAGGTCTCGAGTATGTCGTAGTGACCATACCCATGAAATAGCACATTGATGGGACTCTCCTTCTCCTTCCTATACTCTTCACCATAATTTGCTATATTTGCCAAATCACCAGAGTTTCTGTCCCTCATGAAGACCGAGATCGGTGTCCTGAAAAGTTAGATGGAGTTCGTCAGAAAAGAGCAATGGAGACTGAAAAACATAAAGGTGCTAAACTTGCAATCGACAAGAAAGTTCATATGGTCCTAGATTTGGTATTAATACAATAGCATTTACACAAGTTAAGCTCTAGAATTTGATTTCACAATTGTACAAAGGTTCAACTATATGTCTATATCTATCTGGATTTTAAGCATCCGCGATGTGCATAGGTCTGTAAGCTTGGATTACCAAATTGAAAATCAAAATAAATAGCATTTGAAGCGTCATAAAGGTGGGTGACAATGCAAGTACTTCACAAGCTCACAATTTTATTTATTTATTTATTTTTTTACCAATAAAGATACGAAATATCATGTCTCACAAATTGGAAGGAGCAACGCCAACCGTTATATCTTGTTAAACGGGTGATTAATATCTACATATAGTACCTGTGACCAAATTTAAATGGACATCAACAACGAACCTCAAGTCAGTGTAAAGAAACATAATCTAGAACTCACTTCAAAACGTGAGAAGCCATCAGCAGTTCCGGTTCCCCACCCCATACGTATGGCTGCTGAATTCTCTTCACATACGCATCAAAATCCCCCTCAATAAACCTATGCATATCAGAGTCAATTAATCACATATTCCCAACAAAGCACGTGAACCAGTAAAATGTCACATATTACAAATATTACCATTCTGTTTCCTCGCGTCTTTTAAGAAGTTCATCCACAACCTAGCACAATAACATGAGGTTACAAAAAGATTGTTAAGCAAATAGGACTGCCGTTTTGTTCTGTCTCATGCATAACGATCTCACCTGAGCCTTAGTTCATCAGCAAGTTCTCTCTGGCGATTCTCATCAGGCGCTTCTTCCCCATTTCTTAAGCAAGCTCCATGAACTATCGCTCTGAATAGGCATCGACCATCGGCAAGCACCCCTACACCAGACGCATTTCATCAATTTGAACAATTAGTATCATAATCAAAAGCTAAATCCACCCAATGATTCGCAAAGTCAAGCTCTGGCGAAAAATAAGGCTATTGGCATATTTGTTATAACCAAGATCAGACAGCTGTGCTTATGGAGTTATGCTTATAGACCTATACGCGTGCAATTGTGACTGCAATACGTTCAAAAGCAGCAGAATCGGTTGTTAGCGCTCAACAGACCTTCGCGAGCAATTTTTAGCCCCCAAAAGGAAAATCAATTCAAGGAAAAACAGTTTGAGGGGAAAAAAATAATCATAAAATTTTATCGTTGGAGCTATAAAAGGAACCTTTCCGAGTGTAAGACAACACTATCTTCCCAGCCTTGTCACAAAAACGCATCATCATCTGATCGAGCGATTTCAAACATTCTTTGTAGCCTTGATTATAGTTACAGAACAACAAGGCAAGATAATTCAACCTTTGATCAAATATTGAAAAAAACTGTGAACTCCTTTAAGAAGAAATTATCGTCGTCACCAGAAAACAGCACATTAAAAAGATTTCTA